TTCCAACTATAAGGTGCATAGAATATGCATGAAGAAGAGTGTTTTTGCTATCTCCCCTACAATGGGATTTGCAACACTTTGAAGAGTGGTGGGATTTCTAGTTTTTACAAGTGCTTCACTGGAAGCTGTCATCTGTTACTTCTAGCAGATTTTTCCTATATCCCACAATTTTTTCGTTTTATCAAAAAACAAAAGTAGATATGTTAGGTATATTACAAAATTAGTATAAATGTATAATTATTCATTTAAAAAGAATAAAAAACAAAGCAAGTTTCCTGTTATCTGGCTATTCCGATGTAGCCTACCTGGTGACTCATACTTTTATGTAAGTTTTTTTCAGAATTTGTTTCAGCTAAACCAACTGATTCCAGATCTACAAGTACCATCTTGGAATGACTTTCTCTTAAGTTGTTGGTCCCAGGAATGATGTCTTTAGGTATCCTTTCATAGCACAGTGTTCTCTCCATGTCCCAGTGAGGACAGACAGCCATGTGAACACACCAGTAACTCTGTCAAATGAAAATTGCTATGAGTATCTTTATTATATTTTATTGCTAAAATGATATGAGTGGCCCTGCTTGTTCTTAGAGTGCTTTTAGAACAGGAAAGAAAGAAGCACCAGCACACACAGCGATTTTAGTACCAGGTCAACTTACTGTGTTCTAGTTATTTGAAAGTTAGTAATTAGGGTACTATCAGGCAGTTTGATAGAAATAGAAAAGGTTAATGTGGCCACATGGTCCTTTCCCACATTCCACAATCCAGAGAATAAGCTGCAATAAAATTCTGGGTTTAGAGTTGATGGTTATCAAGTATCATCTCATTTAAAAAATATCTTCTTGTCCTATTAACGGGAGTTGTTCAGCTTCGCCTGCCTTTTCCCCATTCTGAGAAGCATCTCTTCATGTTCCTCTGGAGGTGAACTCGCAGCTGCTTGAGTTGGGCTGAAATCCCTGTCCGTCCTTTGAGAGAGTGCTTGGACTCAGTACTAGGATGCATTCCATTGCTCCACCATGATGAGGAAGATTTTAAGCTCTGAAAGAAAATCCATTTACAAATTAAAGGATTGTTAAAGTACTCATCTGAGAAATGTCCTTCAAGTATCACCTACAAACTTTGAGTCAACAGGAGAAGCAATACTTATAAGCAACTTCTAGAAGAGGTTTTGAATGTTTTTATAAAACATCTGTGTTTGGTGTTGCTTACATCTAGACGTTGTCATCTGCTATACAGGACTGTAAGTTCCTTGAAAGCAGAGACTCTGCACACCTTGAGACGGTTCGTGTCCTTAGATGTAACAGGGACTTAGCCATGTCGGCTAAGCTCATTTTCTGTGGCGCTTCAATGACAGATGTGTGATAGTGCCCAGCCCAGCTCCGCACATTTCACATTCTTCCAACAGCAACCGAAGGGTGTTTTCTTTGATGAGTGTCCGCATTTCTGTGCAGAGTCCTGGTTGGGTACAGGTGTGGGGAAGTGGTATATAGTACTTCAGTCCTCCCTTGGAGAAGAAGATGCTAAGGTGGAAAGTGAGAATCTGGTTCTTTGTCTTCACTTTCAGTTTGACCACCCCACCAAGGTGAGTCACTGTACTCGCTGTTTGGCCCTTGGCATGCCACATCACCTGAGACTGTCCCTCAGGTTGTTGATGACCTTGCATCTGAATCTCCTCTTACATGAATACAGCCAGCGCTTGTCATATAATTTCAAGAACACGCCACAAATTAGTTGACTTTGTAGTTGACATTGAGATTAACTTTCTCTAACCTAAACCAGTGAAAACTAAAATGCTCCTCACCACATAAAAGTTTTGCTTTCACTGTGTTCAGACCCCTCCCACTTTGTCACAGCACAGTCATTTGGAGTGTGATCTGGGGGCGGTGTGGTTGTTTCTCAGTGGTGTATGACCCACTTTTTTGTAATACTGAATTGCCCATGTTTTTACAATACAAGTCAGAAGTTCTGACGCTAGTGGACTATAACCTCAAAAAGATCTTAGGAGACATCTCGTTGGTGCTTCTCCAGTCCTGTGCTTCTCGGAAGAAAGTGCTGGCTCTGCAGGACGTGTGAGAGCCGCCAGAGGACAAGAGGACATTTCCTCTAGTTTCTGGATGATGAGCAAGTACACAGGTAAGGATGCCTTGCTCAGCATCAAAACGTTTTGTGCCTTCATTATTTTGTCGAGCTGGACTTTGTGATTGCTGTTGCCACGTGCGTGTGTATGTTGTGATTCGTGGAGGGCTCAGAGGGCCAAGCCTTTGAATGGGCACCCTGAGACTTTAAGAACTTTGCCTTGAAAATCTGAAAAGATCGTAATCGGATCTTTGATCTCTGTCCTGGCTGTGCCCCTGGCACACGCCCTCGTCACCAGTTTGGTTTTCTTCTTTGCCATCCAGGGTGGTTGTCTGTAAAACCAGAGTAGAGTGACTTCACCCTGCAGCAGTCTCCATGCATGAGCAGGTGCTTGGTGAGCTCCAGGCTGTTGGGTGGTGAAGTGTGGTCATGACAGCCAAAGAGGACAGAAGGCTAAGAAGGGAAGGGATGGCCAGGAACCCCGTGCCTGTGTGAGATGGCTTTGCTGGAAACCAGCAGCAGAGTTAAGTCAAGGGCGATTGCCTTCTGTTTGGCAAATTCGTTTGTGACAGCATGTTCTGATTTAGGATTGTCTCATTTTAGGATTGTTTCAAGAGTCCTTCATTTGAAGGACTCTTGAAATGCCGTTGTTGCTTCCAAAGAAAATAGTGTGTAGCAAGCCCCTTCCTGAATGTGCAGAGGGTTTTGGGCACCATCCTTTGCTGAGGGCTGGCTGGTGTGTGGTCCGTCAACAGGAGAGAGGGGGACGCACCTGTGCCTGGGGGACATGTCCGCTGAGCGTCTCTCTGCGTGCCCAGAGAGAAGTCAGCCTTGTTTTCCCTGAAAGTCCTGATGCAGAAAAAGAATGAAAGTACAAACACTAACTGGAAAAAATGTCACACATTTGAGCCACTTTGCATCCCTTGTTAGTTCGAACCCTGGGTTTTTCACATTTATGAACTTGTGCAGTAGGTGGAGCAGTGTGGGTGGCCCAGAAAAAGCAGTGGTTAGAATAAGATTTTCCATTTATTGCCCTTTGTGCATGGCTAAAAATACAATTCATACAAATCAGAATATGTAGTGCTAGCAAAATCACTCTGTTAATTCTGATGACCGGCTTGCCCACATCTTTGCGTCTGTCTGGTAAGTGGGAAATTGGGAATGAAATGCACTTCTTCTGCTTAACTAGCAAAAGGCTATCCAGGATTTTGCGCCTTGGGTCTACAAATAATTGTTTATCAACATTTTCCCCTTCTGAAGGAAGATAGGGCCAGTTCATACGTAAGCATATTGTGCTTATGGCAGGTTGAGGGAAGGGTACGAGTCCTGGTGTCTGCTCTGAAACGGCACTGCGTAGTCTGAAATGCTGTTTGGCCGTGTCCGTCTTCTCAGCTCATTGTTAGAAAGAAGAGCCAGGGAAGCATCTGGCAGTGGCATTGTCTCTGAGACTGGGAAATTCTTCTGTTTGCATGGATGGGGGTGGGGTGAGGCTAGGGGACAAGGATGAGCGCACACCTGCCCTTTAGTCCCCTCTATAGACACAGATGGTGGAAGGACAGTTAACCAAGAAAAAAATCCCCTTCATCTGGCTACCGACTCTGCCGCCACCACAGTCAGTGATAACATGTTAGTTTGTGGCTAGAAGAACCACCAAAGAGAGGTGGCGTCAGCACTCACAGGGAAATTTGTAGCTTCGTGATCCCAGCGGTGGTGCTGTCCCCTGCCCCTGGTTGAGCAGTGGCGGCATTTCCAGAGAATGAGAAGGGCTGCCAGTGCTCTGAGCCTGTTTTGTTTGAGGTAATTGGTGAAGTGGATGAGTCAAGAGAGCAGTCATTCCAGAAGCCTCTGAAAATTGAAGAGTAAAAAAAAAGAGAGAGAAAAGAAATTTCGTTCCACCGATGGTTGGCAGCCGGCGCTGCGCGACACGGTGATTCACATGAAATGAGAGCGGACTGCAGCTCCAGTCTTAGCTCTGCCACCTGTTGACCTGTTTGCTCAGCCTCTCCTAGGTGCGGTGTCTTGTTTGGAAGTGAGGACAGGAGCAGCACTTGCACCAAAGGGAGGCTGTGTGAACTTTCATGTGATAAGGTGCAGAGAGCGCAGAAATCACAGTGTAAAAACAGGGGGTATGACTCTTCCTTTTATCATCACGTCGTGATGGAGAAATTAGGTGCTCCTCTCTGTGTTCCCAGCACAGATGCTGAAATTCCATGGCCAAACATCACATGATATGTTTCTTGATCAGAAAGATAAAGGCATTTACAGGATGAATTGATTTTTGTGGGTGACAGTGCCATCTGGAATGGGAAGTGTGTCTTTTTTCTGTCTTGCCGTGAGATTACACACTACAAGCCTCTCTTGAGATCAGCACTATTTGGGGCATATTCAACTGTTTTTTGCCTTGTCTCTGTGCTTTTCACTTCACCATGGACATATCTGTCCTAACCTCTGTGTGTTGCTGGTAGTGCATGCTGGTGATGTGGCACTGATGTGGTCATCAAGTCACGTTTGAACTATTTCAGGTGACAATCAACACAACTTTCATGGTGTTGCAGTTCCCTGCAGAAGATAATTGCATCCCGTTACTGATCGGTCCAGTGGGTGTCAGGTGCTGATAGGCAGGAAAGAACTTCTGTTCTCCTACTTTTATGGACTATGTTTTACAGGTCACTTTGTGTTTCATACAAACCTGCTTTTCCGGGAGATTTTTCCCACCCTGCAAAGTGTGTCTCATTATACAGTGTATTTCAAAATACAGTGCTGTAGTTGTGATCCTCTCTCTTGTGATTTCTTTATAATTAAATGATAAGAGCCCAAATCAGACTCTTTCTCTAGCATTCTTCATGACCTCCCAGGGATGCCATTTCTTCCTTTGTCAAATTAAAAAAGAAATCAGGATGGCACCTTGAGTTTGCCTCTCCTGGCACCTGCCAGGAGAAGTGATAAATGAGACCAATAAGCTAAGGAATTAAAACAACAGTGTGTTGGTACAACAGTGATGTCTTCATTTTGTCACTTGGTACATTTTTGCTGGGTTTTTATGTCTGATTTCTCTTCAGATTTTCATCATGTGTCCTCGCCGTCCTATCGCAAATACAACTTCTCACTTGGGATTTACATTATTGGTGCTGTCATGAGATTGTCTGGGCTTTTGATGTGTGGAGCCATCAATCTGGGATGAAGACACTTCTTAGGGGAGAGCCACCTCTCCTTAAAATAGTGCCCTGGTTCCTCCAGTGAGACCAGCTGATACTGGCTTGTCCGTTTTTTGTCTTTTGAACATTACAGAAGAGTGCTGATAAGATTTACAGAGTTCCTCGCTTTACGGGTACAGCTTTGGTCCCAGCCCCACACCTGACGTAAACCATTTTCTTTGCAAGTGTATTGCACTTTGCCACAGATTGGAGCTTCTGTACAAATCATGGCCAAGAGAAGGTGGCAGACTAGACTGTGGCTGTGATGCCCAGCCACATCTCCATGGGGAGTGACAGAATCTGAAATGCCTCCCTCTGAAATACCTTGTGCTTCTTCCTGCACAACAGCCAGTTCTAACCTATCCTTCATGTGCAATTTTGAGCGTGCTGGCCAGGCTGGGCTCATTATTCCTTTGGTTGAATAATGTAGAGCATTTGCAATGGAGATTGACTCTAATGATATATTTTAAGTGCTTGTCCACATGGCTGGTTTAATGCACTCAGTCATGGAACGCTTTAGAGTTTATTGCTAATGGATGAATCCTCGAGAAAGCCAGGATTTTCAGTAAGATTGACATTTGGAGTGCAAAATAGAAATCTAATGAAAGTATTTTGACCAAGGTTTGTAATTAAGGCTGCATGAAGTAAATCTGCACGCACAATGCCACAGAAGGGCACAGCGCAAGATGAAGATGCCCGCTCCACTGTGAACAAGGGATGAAGGCCAATGTATCAGCGTCAGGCCACGGCAGTATGGAGTATAAATGATACTGTCGCAAAGCTCCAGTCCCATGGGAATGATGCCACTCTAGTAAATTGCATTACTTAGACCTGCAGGCATTGTGTTGGGATGAGAGGACAGCTGCACAGGCTGTCAGCGTAACACACGGGAGCTGCTGTGCTGCTACTGGCTGCAGGTGTGGAAGCCACCAGTCTGCATTGTATGTGCTCTTTTGTATCCTCATTTGTTAATGTGAACATTTGAGTAAGCATGTCATTCCTGCACCAAGGGCTAGATTACAGCAGGCTCTAGGGCAGTGAAGGTAGAATAATTTGTATCAACTATTCCTTGTTGACTCTCATACTACTCCCTGCTGGGTGATGGTAGGTGTCCAGTAAAAGCTTAACCTTAGCCTGTTTTCTTGCTGAGAGATGCTGCAGCATGCACTGCCAGGATTCAGTTCTCGACTTTGCCTTGATAGCATTGTCTCTGTCCCAGATCTGCCTTAATAAGGACACGTGTTTTCTAGTCCCTTCTGTCCCTGGCTCGCGCCCACCATTTCTTCCCTAAGGGAAATACACTGTCCTGGACGCAGCATTTCATTTTGTGAAAGAACTCCAATTTAAGAACAGTTGAGTCTGGCTTGTGAAGAAAAGACTGGCTTCTGGCTTCTATTTTCTGCTATTCCCCAGCACTGACATGAGCCCCCTTCCCTCTTTGGATTGCTCTGGTCTTAACCATCTCTGGGAAGGAATGAGATGAGAATAATGCCATCAGTCATACCTGCTACTTTTGGATCACAGAAGATGTGCTGGTCACCTTTGTTCCATTTGACTTCCAATGCCAGTTCTTGAAAATTTCAAGCCAGGAGTAAATGACTTGAAATTCAAAAGGAGTCTGGAAAGGATTCTGAAGCAATGTCAGTGCTGACCTCCTCAATTCTGTGTTGTCCTACTTGTGTAGTGAGCTGCATGGGGGAAACCCTGGAGTCTGCGTTAATGGCAGGAGTACCCAGAACTCCTGTGGGCTTCAGCGGCTTTTCAGAAACAGGGACACTTGTAGACAGCAGTGACAACAGCAGTGGCTTGATTTGATTTTTATTTTTTTCAAAAATAATTCTCAATAACTGGGTATGACAGTTTTGTCTTTTGCATTATTGTCTAGTGACAGTATGAATATTTAGTAGTAGACTTGGAAAGCCAAGTTGGAAGGTAGACTGGAGAAAACCTGGTTAATAATAGCCTGGTTGATAGTTTTGTTTTCTGCAGAGTTCTTTCACCTTACAGTATCTTTAAGTTGATGGCCCTCACGTAACTTCTGACTGTAAGAAGTATCACATCGGACGCCTCCATGCCACATGCCAAGCCCAACACAGAGAAGCCATGCCTACAGGATTTGCCTTATTCTCTGAAGCCTTACAATAAGCAAGAGGCCCTTGGCTGGAGGTGGGCAGAGATGAGAGCTGCTTTGATAAATAAAGTTACCCTTTTCAATAAAGAATTCCTCCTTTCTTCATTCACTTCACTTGTGTTACACGCCTTGTGCCCACGTTTTCTCTTCATCATGCCATGGACTGGGAAGTCACACGTGTGTGAGCATTTGCAACGGGAGTCCAGGCATGGCTTTTTCTTTCCCCAGTGTCCTGACACGGCATGCTGCCTGACCGAATCTTCTCCGTTCTTCTGAACTGAATCCTGATGGAAGGGCTTCAGCCACATGGAGAAGAAATGGTTTGCATTCTCTTCCATTCTGCGGGTTCCTTTGTTCCTACCTTCTTACCTGTGACTGACTCTATTCTCTTTCTTTTCCTGACATGAAAATTAAAAACGGAGATTGGATGGGGGGGTTGCTCCTGGGAAGAAACGGGTCTGTGGAGAATTGCCAGGACTCATTCAGAAGCTGTTCTGAGTTCTGAGAAGTATAATGAACTTGAGCTTTGAGCCCTGCTGAATCTCCCATTGATATTCCCACTGTCACCACCTCCTGCCACCCAAAAACGCTTTCCCCACAGGCTGCCAGTATTTGTCTCTTGCTATTCTGAATGAAGTGTCTTCTGGATAAGGTGTGTCTGGAATGAAATGAAATCCTATTGCAGTCATCGTTTCCTAGATGGTTCATAATCATAGGAAATGCTCTGGTTTGGCATAAAGATGCCTGTGAAGGCACTTGCCTCAGACCTTGATTGACTCGCCAGAAGTCAGCTCATGGGCCACAGTTCACTTAGCATGACACGCTTCCAAGTGGGAGCTGCTGCCACACACTGCCATGTGCCTGCACTCTGAGTGCCACAGAAAAAGAGACTGCTGTTCTGACTTGTTGAGGGGAAAAAAGTGCAAACAGCAACACCAGCTCTGCCACCAGAGAGCCTATAAAAGGCATGTTCAGAGGAACAACGAGGTCATTTGTTCGCACATGACATCAGGGTGTAAGAATTTAAACAATAAGACCTCTTGTGAAATGTGGCAAAATAGGCACCGCCAATGTTGTGAAGTTCTCTGTCCCCTGGCAGGCAGTCTTTACAGGAGATTCAAAAAGCCCCATTAACTTGTAAGCTACAGTTAGAGAAAACGATGAGAAAGTTACTCACCTCGCTGTAACATGTCAGGCAATTTCTGTTCTCATGGAAGCTATGATGCATTCATTTTCTAAAAAGGACCTGAGCTGGAATGTATAAAAATTAATTTACTGCATTAGAGAGTACAGCAACCTCGTCCCTCCTTCCCCTGGAGTGGGAAATCTGCCGTTTAGTGAAGACCTTGCTTGCTGTGAATAATATTTATTTCTTTAAAATAGGGGAAAAATCCTTTAAGTCACTTAAAGTCAAGAGGAGGTTTAAGGCTTGGCCCTAATTCCCTAAATCCTTCTGACATCGGTAGAGCATAGGGAGAGAATAATGGTGCTTTGAAGAGAGATTTTAATTTAATTTCCTTGAATGTGCACCCCAGCCTCTTCTCCCTGGGAGCCTGCAAGGGAGACCTGGTCTCTCTGCAGCCCTCAGCAGGGCCATGGCAGGAAAAGGCATCGACTTCCTCACCCGCTCACATCTGGGCTCTGGCAGCACCCCCAGATGTCCTGTTTTGCTGTTTGAAATCTGACCTTCCTGGAAAAGTGGCCCTGGGGAAGGGGGAGGAGGACCTGTGTTCCCTGAGAAGGTGCTCCTGGAGAGGACTTGGTGGCTGGATGCGGAAGCTTGTCAAGTGTATGTGGGTCCGTACGGCATCCTTACAGAATCCTCTTAATTGAAGAAATGTTTCATCTCTGTCTCTGTTGACAGGAAAGATTGCCTACTGATAATTGCTTTGCTTAAGTGTCTGATAATATGCCAGGAATGAGAGCATTCTATGTTAGGTCATCTTTAATTATGCATGTACCACCTGTCAGCTCTAAATCAGTACCAGATAAGATTCTTGTAGAGTCAGCTTGGGAGGGTGGCACAGAGGCTGGCATGATCTGTTTTAGAAACAACAAAAATAGAGTGTAGTAAACAGACCTGACAACCTGCAGCTTTTTTTTTTAATGGGAGCCACGGGTTGTTGGGTTTCTGTTTTGATTTTTCTTTTTTTTTTTTTTTTTAATTGTCCTTGAACAAGACCAAGTCGTTGGTACCTCTGCACAAGGGGGTTTGAAACCTCACCCGAGTGAGATAAATCGCTGTGTGGCTACATCGCTGCGCGAGAGTACGGAGGTGCCTCCCCTCTCGGCACCATCTGTTGCATTTCCTTTTTGCTCTCTCTCTCTCATCGTTGTCAGTGAGCCAGGGAAAAGCTCAGAAACACTTTCGTAAGCTATGTGAGGATAGGAAATATGTTCACGATGTTAGATTTCTTGTGCTGCAGAGTTTTTTGGGTTTTTTTTTTTTTCAGTCCTTGGTTGGCTTTTTTTAGCAGGACAAGTGTGGGTTGGAAGGAATGCTTGTTACCCTCTGTCAGCTTTGGGTAGTTTTATTCTCACGTTTCAGGGTTGTTTGGGACTTTCTGGCGGGGTGTTTAGGGTTCTTTAACTGAAGGCTCCACTCTCTTCTCTGGTTTTTGATAGAGCGTACGGTTGAGAGGTATTTCTTCACCTGTCGGTAGTTTCAGGGCAGCCTCAGGTTACTGTGTGGTTTTCACAGAGGTGGGCTTAGGTAACTGAGAGGCCAATGCCAAGAAGGGCTCAGCAAAAGGAAACAACAGATGTGTGAGTTACCAGGTCAGGTAGTTCTGACGTCCACCTACAAAGGTGAGACTCAGTGCAGGCACTCTCCAGCAGTGATAAGAATTCATGAAATGGGACCTTGGGAATAATTTCAGAGCCTTGGAATCCTTTATTCCAAACACTACTGGCTGGCGACCTTGAAGAGAAGTAGCAGGCCAGTTCAGAAGCAAAGACAGATGGCTCCTGTCCCATCGCATCAGAGCACTCTGTGACTCTCATGGCACTGGGTGACTCTCGGCTGCCATGTGATGCATGGGATGCCGTGATTTTCTTATCTCCCCTAATCAAACCAAAGTGGAAGAGTAGGCTCAAAACTGCTTCCTGCAGTCCCATTGCTGGCACTGTGATTATTGAAGGCTACCATAGTGCATAAAGTCATCAGATGTTACGTGAAGAACTTCACAGCCATACAGGGGCTATTTCCTAAAACAGAAGCCAAAGTATGTCCCAAGCCTTCAAAGAAAAAATAACCTCAAAAAATAAAGCTAAGTCAGAGGAAAGGAAAAAAATAGTAACTGAAGAAAAGCAAAATGGCAAGGCAAAGGTTTTGCCACCTCATCTCTCCCTCTAGCTCATCTTTGGCATCTCTCTGGAAGATGCTCTCCCCTCCTGACCTGATTCACTCTGACTTTGAGTCCATGTGTATCATATCCACCAGAAAGGTGTTGGGCTCCTTTCTAAGATAATCTGCAGCCCTTCCCCTGAAGCACACTGCCTGCTTCGAGAGCTGGCCTCCTCCTTCTTGGCAAGAATGGCTGGTAGGATGGCCACTGCTATCTGTCTCTCATCCAGGGGGAAAGAAGAGTAGCAGTGACTTCATTGGACTCCACAATAGTGATAACTTCACTGGATTTCTAAGACCACATGAGGGATGTTAGACAAGCACATTTGAAAAGAAAAATACAAGGACACCTTAGAAAATTAATGGGGAGTGACGTTAAAATATATGTGTATTATAGTGTGTGGGTTACCAAAAACTTTTGAAATGCACACAGTTTTTATACAAACACATTTTCCATGAAGTTTTGGGCAAACAAACTCAGAGACAAATTGTAGTGTTGCCTGAACAAAACACCAAGTAATGGAGAAGATGGCAGGCAGTGTGGCTGAAGGCACAGAAGAGGGGCAGCCTGGAGGAGAGAGAAAGGAGAGATGCTAAGAGCTGGGTATGGATGCCTGAACCACCATTTGTGTGCAGCAGGAAGAACTGACAAGGGTTGGGATCAAGAGCAACAATTTCCTTGCAAGTGCAGTTCTTCCACAGCAGAACCTACAGCTTAGAAGAGCCACTTTGGTTTGAGACCATGTTTGGGTGGTATTCTAGATTGGTTTGTTCTGCACTGTGTGGGAGCACAACCTAGACATCCTGACCACATGCGAGGCGACAGAATTGCTATTCCAAATAAATCACAGTGGAGATGACTGGGGAGCATCAGCCCCAACCTCCCTCCATGCAGTGCCTGGGTGGTCTGCTTCTCAGCACTCACCTGGCCACCAGCGCCAGCTGGAGTTCAGCCTGAGATGGGTGGGAGGAAGACAGCTTGTTGCTTAGGAAGCTGCACAGTGAAGCCAAGGACAGGAGCACTGGCACAAGACCCAGCTCACCTGTTTCCTGACCTCTTGCTAGCCATGTGACTCTGAGCAGCTCCCTCAAAGCCAGGTGAAATAACAATAATGGTGCTCACTTCATGCAGTGGCCATGAGGCGTACAGGAGATAAAGAAGTCCTTGTGAGTGGCAATGTGCCATCCATAGGTGGGTGTTAGTTCAGAGCTCCAACTCCATTGTATATAATCTCAACTCGGCTTGATCAGCAGCACACAGGATGTAATTTCCTTCTTTCCAGGGTTACTGTGAGTTGGGTGACTTAACTAAAATATCCCACATTGGGGATGGGAGGCTGGCACAGTGCCAATCTCTCAGGTCAGAGTGCCCAAGTTTAAGTACCAGCTCCACTCTGAATTCCAGTTTCCTTTACCTTGTACTCTGGGAGGCAGGCGGTGATAATGGCTTGAGCTTGATTGAACTTCTTGTTATTGGCCTTTCAGCCTGGCCCATCCATGTCTGTAACAGACACTTGCGGGTGACCAGCAGTAGGGAATATATTTTCTCTCTTCTCTCTCTCTCTCTCTGTGTGTGTGTGTGTGTGTCTGTGTGTGTGTGTGTGTGTGTGTGTGTGTGTGTGTGTGTGTGTGTGTGTCCATCTCACTCTCTGCCTTTCAAATAAAATATTTTTTTATAAAGTGTTTCAGGGCAAGCTGAATCAGAGGTTGAGATACCACTTGACACTCACACATCCCACATTCCTTATCCAAGTGCCTGAGTTCAAGTCCCAGCTCTGCTTTTGGTTCCAGTCTCCTGCTGGTCCACACTTTGGGAAGGAGCTTGCAATGCATCAAGTACTTGGGTCCCTGCCACCCACCTGGGAGACCCAGATTGAATTCCGGACCCCCTGCCTTCGACCTGGTCCAGCTTTTGCTGTTGCAGGCATTTGGAGAGTGAATTAACAATAGGAAGATCCCTCTCAGTATATCTTT